GTTCGACGAACTCGCGTCTCCTCGGCACGACACGAACGGAATGCGGGGATTATTTCGTTAAAGACGATCGGCCTGCGACGGGAACGGCGACGTCAGCGACGGCCGCTCGCGACCAGTCCGATATTACTTGGAAAGTACGCGGCTCTTACCAGTTTGCGAGCTGCCGTGGCGTTCGGTCAGAAGTACCCGGCGAAGACCTAAGCTACTTAACGTAATCTAAATCCGCGTGGTAATCCTTTGGCGGTGAAACTGAACCGGGAGGAGTTCGTTGCCCGTAAACTGGGTAAAATCTGGCAAACGAAGGCTTTTTCCGTACCTCGAGGATCTCTGGGACCGGGAAAGAGGCTCGGGAAACCGATGCTTCTCGGCCGATTTGGCTCGCCTACGCGCCTCTCCGCCCCCATCGGACGGTCGTCTAATCGAACGGCAAACACGTAGGGGAGAACGACCGAGAATGAATATTGAATGGGACGTTACCATTGTCACGAAAATTTGAGAATCATTCCGTAACTAAATTATACATACTGCGTAACTGTGTTAAGTGTATCTAATCACTTGTAATTGGAAGTCGCAACCAGTTAATTCTTTGGGGCAGGGTGGGATTCAAAATCAGTCCCATCTTTTCGATGCATGGCAACGCATCGACATTTTTAGACTTTGTCGCAGGGGTTACTGCGACGGTTTATATCAAATAATCCGAGAGAGTTTTTTTGGTTTTTATATAACGAGAACTTTAATATAACTTGTAACAAAAGGCGATGAGGTACAGTGTGTAGAAGGTAAAGGTAAACGAGTGACGGATGAGACAGAAATATGAACACGTTGAGAGTCGGAGGAAAACTTGCTAACTGACGTCTCCCGGTCGAGAGGTCCTCGTATTTATTGGGGAGAACGTATCGAAATTGGTAAGGGAAAGTCCTTGGGAAGGGCGAAGGCCTTTCCCGAAGATTTTCCGACCGGGGTGATCCGGGACCTATGGTCCGAAGCTGTGTCCCAACGTTTTTATTGTTTTATTGCGGTGTGTACGCCTTGCGTCGGGAAAACCCGAAAAAGGCATATGCACACCCCGTTTTTGAAGGACGTGTCTTTTTATGTCTGGTCCGCCACAAGACCCATCTTGAAATATTGCAATAGCTGCATGCGCATTCATGAACCCATGTGGCACGATGGGACTATTTGAGTCGCACCCTATAACAACAAATTGAATTGAATTATTATATTTTTGTTTTTATATTATGCGATTCTTTTGCTAATAAAAATACGGCAATTTTGTTTAATTTAAAACGCGATACAATTTCTGTGCAACATGAGTCTATTTTACTTTCTGAAATCCTGCGCCTCAAAGAGTTAATACGTAATTACGAGAGACAATAGATCTTTTCAAGTTTGAAAGTAAAGAAGATTGTCTTCCTAATTATTTTGTAAACCACTGGAAAACTGTTCTTGCAAAGATGTAAAAAAGATTTATTTCAGAAAAAAAAACAATACTTATAAGAATAATACCGAGATTACTGTAATTTTGTTACACCATCCTATTCATAAATACGCCTGTCCCATTCGATACCAATTGCTGAATGGGACAAAATGCATTGTTTAACCCTTTGAGATCTGACTTATTTTTCGTTAATTTGCGTTATATCTGAAGTCAAGTTTTACGTACATGTAGATGATAATAACAAGAAATGTTGGTTTTATTAGTATTGGCCCGACTTCACCACCAAACTAAGAGGTTATGCGGTTACATATAAACAAAGATGTGCTTTCACCACCAAACTGAGAGGTTATGTAATTACATGTAAATAAATATGTGCGTGGTATGCATTCTAAAACAGGTATATTCGTATATTGTAGAAAAACAGGATTCATTTCTCCCATTAGTCGTACGAAATACATAGATGGAACACATATGTTCTGATAGACTCCAAAGGGTTAAAAAGATTAAAGACGAAGCAAGTAAATGTAGAAAAAACTCAATTACACTACATATATGCATTCTTACAATAAAAGAACTGATCTTTCAAATGTTTCAAACTCGAATTTTGAACAGGTCGTTTAGTATTTTGTTGTCTTGTATTAACACGTTGAATGCCACGGGGGTCACCGGTGACCGGCGCGCCCAAATTGATAGAAATATATATAATTTCAAACAAATGTTAATATCTAAAATTTTGTATTATTACCATCGTCGATTCAAACAGCGACCCCTGTCGCAATTAACATGTCAAACATGGTTATACACCGTAACTTATCTATTGCAGATAATATTTCGACATTGTATGTATCGCATAAAAGAAAATTCATCGTGGCGCCACGGGCAATTTCTGTAAAACCGGCGTGGCATTCAACGTGTTAAACAAATGCGTCCCATTCATGACAGTTCTTCTCCCCTATTGCGAAGAAGGTCCGGGGAAACTGCCGGATAGATTCGACGAAAAATGTAGCGGGAAACGGGGTTGGACGGAATGGAACGCGACTCCGCACCCTCCTGGGCGTTCTCGGAGGGTTACGTGGTCGTTGAAACGAACCGATTCTGTCGGAGTAATTAGGGACACGTGGCCGAAGAGCGAACGAAATTGCTCTGCCTGACGCGGCGAGAACGAAGAGCAGGGGAACGAAACGCTTTCGGTCGGGTTGCCCCGCTTCTCGACGTCTAACTTTTACTTTCGTCTACGTTCGAGTCCGCACCGAATAAACGGGGATGCTTATTCGAGAGGAAGCTCAACGAATATCCGAGCTCGCATCGCTGGCCGTGCCGCCGCGATAGAAACAGAAACGAGACGCGAGGTCGGATAAGCAAAGAGTTTTGCAACGTTTCGGCAACAGGTGGCCCGGGGCTCGCGGGCTGTGGGCGCTTCCAAAAAAATTCGGAGTCGAAACGCGACGCCGATTCCAACGTTCGCGCGCGGTCCAGGGTGCGGAACGTTTGGTCGAGGGAAACTTGGCGATCGAGATTCGGTCGTGCACGGTGCCGCGACCCGTGACCCGCGTTCGAACGTTCGCCGAGAACCGATCCGGGGCGACGCGATGCTACGGAGGACGAGGTGCGGGGCCAGTAGCGCGGCCAGAAGCGGGCGCGGGAGGCGGAGAGCGAAGCCCCTCTCGACGCTAATAAGAAGGAGCAACCGGAGCTCCCTTTGACGTCGTTGGTTTCTTTGGCAATTAACGGTGGGAACGGTGTAACGAGAGCGTAACCGAACGAACGGACGAGCGGACGAACAAACTGCAGACGGTGAAAGAGAAAAGGGTGAAGCGCCCGGTACTCGACCAGTAGTCGCGGGATTAAAAGGGAGAACGCGTCGATATATACTTCGCCGTCGTCGATACGACGAACCTCGCCGAACGAACCCCGTCTCCTTTTTTCTTCTTCGGTTCGTCCTCTCTTATTTTCGTTCCATCGACCGTAGCAGCGTACGGTCTTTTCGATTCGATTGGACTCGATTCGTGGATTCCTTTCGCGTGAGAAGGAGAGAGACGGAGCCACGCTCGCGCCCATATTCGTATAATTCGTATCCGCGATAACGTCCGACGAACACGCGACAACGCGGCCGATTCCTTTCGAGGGTTTCTCGGGGCGCGACGCGACATTGCGACGAACCACGCGAATCGAGGAGAAACTGTCTCGCGAAGTCACGAGTCACGCGAGAGGCCAAGGGACTCTCTCTCTCTCTCTCTCTCTCTCTCTCTCTCTCTCTCTCTCTCTCGGCTCGCCTTCTTTCCTTTCGGTTGCTCCTTTTGGTCTCCATTTTGATCCCCATTTTGGACCCCGACTCGTCTCCCTTTGGTTGCTCGTTCCCGTACCGTAATACTATTCGTGCCTGTCCCGCGTCAGCCAACGAACCACGTCCGATCGGCCTTGTAAAGTACAGAGGCCGAGGCGAGGTGAGGCGGGGCGCGCGTCAGCGGGATCGCGTTCATCTTCTCTTCCATTCTCTTCCATTCCCATGGCTCGCAGATTGCAGCCGACGTTTTCCTCCGGCAGAGGAAACGAGCACAGTTTCGAAGACGTCGCCGGTTATGCACGGCAAACGTATCTTAAGCGCGATCGAACCGGAGTACAGAGTACACGGCGTAATCGCGTTAAGAGCATTATCGAGGAGGAGAACGGGCCGAACCGAGGAACCCGGCCGGGAACGGCGAACCCCAGGTCGGAAAACCAGTTCGACCGCGTTCAACCAAACCTCGCCCGGCTCTCTCTCTCTCGACTCTCTCGCAAGCCAGATCGCAAGCGCGATTACACGCCTCCTCGGCATTCTTTTCTATTCCCCGAGACGTTTCCCGTACTCTTTCGCGCAACCGCGATTTCCGGACGATCTCGCGATCTCGGTCGGACGCGATCGAAAAAGTAGGTTAGCCGCGTGGATGGGTGTTGGTCGTTTGCGACCAGCGACGCGACGCCGCGCCGCAACGACATGCATGTCCGAGCTCGAATGTTGCTTTTTCCCCCGCAACGCGAGTTATCGACACGCGCGTCCAATGTCCATCATCGACGTATTAATTGCCAATTACTCTTCCCTCGTTGCACCGACGAGATAGACACGATCAACTATTAACAACACCGTATTAACTGAAATTTTGCTAATGGATGTTCTGCTTGAGCTTTTTCGATCGAATATCGCGTGTCGGCCGCGCACCCCTGCCCAACACGCATTCGCGCGCCCCTGTTTCTCTGCTCGTGTTTGCTCGACAACGCCGAAATTTCGTAAGGAATATCGCGGGTGTCGCGTCCAACGGGCAGAAGCGATCCCGGACAATTATAAAACGTCGCGACGCCGCGACGTCGCGCTTCTCATAAATCGAAAGCCACCGGCGAATCGTTTGCACGCTCGCGGATAGCGAGGGCGAACAGGGTCGCCGAGAAAATGCATTATACGCGCATGTGCTTGTACATTGTACACGTGCAGCTCGCGAAGCCGCTGCCTGTTGGCCTGCGAATCGTCGCTAGGCACGTACTCGGACGGGAAAAAGATTCTAACGAATACCCCGTCTCCTTTCTGTTTCAGCGGATGCAACGAGATTGAGGCATTCGAGGCACCTGGATGCGAGATCGCAGTTCTCCACCGAAGAGGAATTAACTGTGAGTGCTTCCCGGATCCCTCTTGATTCGATTTCTCACCCTCGGAACGACCGCTTTCTTCTCTCGTTTCTTATTCTTATTCTGTACCAGCGACAGTTCCTCTTCTCTCCAGCCACTACGCCGAGCCGTTTCACGATTTCTCTAGGTTTCGGTGTCGCGTCGCCCCGCGAAGTCTTTCGAACGATCCTTCTGCCGTTGAATTCCTGATAGAGAGACGGCACGGCATCGATGGAACCGTCTCTATGATGGTCTCGTTTTTTCTTTTTCTTTTTTTTTAGATGCCGCAGGGCGAGGAGAATCACAATCACAAGCCCGTGTTTTCGAACTGCTCGCACTATGCGCCGGTCGTGAAAGAGGAAGAGCCGGCGGGCACCGTGGTGGTGAAGGTGCACGCCGAGGACAGGGATCGTCCCGAGGATGGAGGTAAGACACACTCGTTCGTAGCCTTCCGATTCCGAAAGCCCGACGATGGTCTTGGAAACAATAACTAACCAAAATTCAATTCTTCAAGCTTCGTATTTGTACAAAATTCTGTTTCTATGTGTTGACAATTTCTTGGAACCACAAAATCGATGATATTAACGCTTTCAACGCAGTGTTTTAAAAACATGTATCACAATTCTATTATCATAATTGCATCATTTCAAAAATATATCAGAATTACGCTATTAAAATATGTATCGTAATTGTATTATTAACAAAATCTATCGTGTTTATATTATTAATAAAGTACATCGTAATTGCACCATTCCAAAAATATCAGAATTACGCTATCAAAATATGTATCGTAATCGTATTATTAACAAAATCCATCGTGTTTATATTATGAATGAAGTTTATCATGATTGTACCATTACAAAAATATATTACAATTACATTATTAACATTTTGATTGCCTCGTTATCCATATGTGGATGAGAGAATTACTGAAAATTTAATTTTTACGGTAATCCATTACGGTCCCTTAATTTTATTAAAATGTAATTTTTATTTAAATTGCCAACCGCTTTGCAATTTTAATTTAGTATCCATTCCAGTATTCACTTGTCTACATATTCAAATGTAAAAGCTCTTCCAAGCAGAAATTTCTTTTTATCAAAAATGCTGGTTACGTCGTTCTTTTTAAACGTTAATTCAATATTTCTTACTTGATAATATTCTAGCTCTTATCGACCCGAATTAAACGACCTACCTCTAACTTTGGAACAACGCTAAAATAATTTAACCCCTTGACATACAAATAAAACGAAATTTGATTCGTCCGGAAATTACTATTTAATTTGGCTCAACTGAACAGTTATGTGCAAGCTAAAAAAGAGAATGTTTTATTTTGAAATTTGTGTTACTGATTTGTGGATGCAACATCGTTGTTGGTACTGTCGCGAAGGTGGGTGGGTGAGGCATCTTGAGCACATTATAAACAAACCAGAATCGACGCCCGGGCGAAGGCAACTGAGTAATCTAATAATATACTGCACGCCGTCCGTCGAAAACAGCTCTTGACGAGTTTAATCTCGTCGAAGTTTACGGTGACACATGCGAAATGAACGACGACCCCGACTCATCATTGTATGTCAAGGGGTTAAGCGACTGAAAACGAATTCCCAGACCACTTTGCGTTCGGCGTTTTCCAATCCGGCTAACGTTTCCGATTTGCAGGCACCATCACGTACAGCTTCGTGGTCGCTCAGGGCGAGAAGCTGAAATTCAAGATCGACAACAAGACAGGGTTGATCAGGACGACGCAGATGTTGGACAGAGACGAGCCCGCCCGTGAAAAGGAAGCGTACCTGACGATACTGGCGACCGATAACGGGAAGCCTCAGCTCGACGACGTCTGCACGTTCAAAGTAACGATAGAAGACGTGAACGACAACGCTCCGGTATTCGACAAAGTGGTAAGCCTTTCGAGTCCCTTCTGACGACGACCAACAGTCAACAATCGCCTCCACGGATCGGTCGGATTCGTTGGTTTCGTGGGACAAGCCGGGTGTACCGACCGAATGCTACGTTTCATCCTCTGATTTACCCTCCGTCGGTGGTTTGCCAGCTTCGATCAGCCTCGATCAGTTCTGTTCATCTTCCCAGTCTCACCCCCACGAACCAAACCGAACCAACCGAGCGTCCCCGCGACCGATACATTTACACTATTCCGCCACTAACCACCTTTTGCTTGGATCTTCTTTCTTTCTCCATACCCAGGTCTTCCGTGGATACGTGTGGAAGGTTGGTCTTGTCATTTGCGGTGCGATTGCAGTTGTTCGATCTTTGTTTTTTCTTGGAATGCTGAATGCCGAATGCCGAATGCGAGTGTAAATTCGATCGCGTACACTGTCATACATAACGAATATGTAGACGCATGCATACGTGTCATTGTTCTTTTCTGTTTCACCATATCCATCGACGAAATCGCGCGATTCGAGCGGCACGATCGAAAGCTGTCGTGAACGCGCGGGAGCATAGGGACGCAAGGGGTGCGAGAGACAAGGGTAGCAGCGAGATCTTGCCGATCGCATCGCGGAGCTTGTTCGCGCGCGCGTCCATCTACCTTCCTTCCGAGTCTAGTAGTTCATGTATGGAATGCACGCGCAAGTTATTCTTCTCCACGATCTCTGCTCCAGTAATCGCTTCGCACGCGTCGCTCGACCAGAGAGAGAAAGAGAGAGAGAGAGAGAGAGAGAGAGAGAGAGAGAGAGAGCGCAGAAAAGCAGAAAGCGGAGAGCAGCGAGAGTAACAGCGAGATTCCGAGCCGTTCCAACGGTCGATCGCGATCGCGAGTCCGCGTGTATGCATGCACATGTAAACATAAACGTAAACGTGCGATCCTTGCTCCCGAGCAATTCAAAATTCTAACTTGTTTCCGCAATCCGTGGACGACGCGTAGGCGTACACCGAATCGGTACCGCAAGACTTGCCGTTGAGCAGCGAGGTGATGAGAGTCTCGGCCACGGACATCGACGACGGTAACAATTCGGTCGTCCACTACAGTCTGTCGCCAAAGAAGAAAGAGGACGGGGTCTACTTCCGGATAGACAGCCGAACAGGAGTGATATTCTTGAACAAGACCATCGACGTGAGTATCGAAAAAACAGTTCCCGATCGTCGCGAACCGAGTCGGCCAGAACCGAACGATGCGTCCCTTGCAGAGAAGTCCCGACTACAAGTTCAGCATGACCGCTACCGCGATGGATCAAGGCGAGAATCCGAAATCGAACGTGATCGACCTGGACATACGGGTGGTCGAGTCGCACAAGAAGGCTCCGACTTTCATGCAGAGGCCGCCGGGACCGATCCTGCTCAAGGAGAACTTTAGCGACTTCGATCGGAGCATCGAGAGGCTGACGGCTGTCTCGAATACCCTCAACGATACCAGCCTCCTGTTCATGCTGGTCAACGGTAGAACAGAGCAGACCAACAAAGCGAATACGTTTAGGTAAGCGCGACGCTGTACTCTACCTTTTATCCGTTACCCGAGTCTGTGCTCGACCGATCGACACTGCTCGGTGTCTCTTCGTTTTTTACAATTTTCGCTGTTTCGGTCGTTCAGAATCATTCAGAACAAAAACGTGGCGGACATCAAGCTCGCCCAGCGTCTCGACTACGAAAGCAACAGGATTTACTCGTTGATCGTGCGAGTGCAGAACAAGTATCAGCTGGCCGCTGAGACGGTGATCGAGATCGAGGTGGAGGACGTCAACGACAACATCCCGGCGTTTCGTGAGATAAAGAAAGGCAGCGTGCTCGAGAACGAACCGGCGGGAGTGCCGGTGATGCAGGTCCGCGCGATCGACGCGGATGGGACGTCCGCCAACAATCAGGTACGCGTAGTGTTATATATACTCTTTGTTAGACTCTCGAGACTCGAGACTTCTAGACTTTAGACTCTAGAAGGTGTCAACGGTGCTTGAACCTTCGTTGTTTTCATCGGCAGGTCACTTACGAGCTCGACAACTTTAAAGATCTGTTCGCCATCGACAAATACACCGGGAACATCACCACGCTGACGACTTTCGACAGAGAGAAAGAGGACACGTACAACGTTAAGGTGATCGCGATCGATAATTCTCCCAGCTCGCTATTCCAGACCGGCGAGCACAACAAGGGCCAGCAAGTGTTTCGCATTGAAATCGCGGACAAGAACGATAACGCGCCTCACTTCGACAAAGCGGTATACTTGACCAACCCGATCAACGAGGACGCCAATCAGAACGAAGTGGTCACCGAGGTGAAGGCCGTCGATTCGGACACGGCCAGTCCGGTTACCTACAGCATCATATTCGGCAACACCGACGACAGCTTCCTCATCGAGGAGACCACCGGCAAGATCCGCGTGAAGAACTTGCTGGATTACGAGAAGATCACGCAGTACAATCTGACGGTTAGAGCGTTCGACGGCCTGTACAACGACACCGCTCTGGTGAAGATCTTCATCGAGAACGTGAACGACAATCGACCGGTGTTTGGGAACTTTGAAAGGAATCCGACCATCGAGGAGGAGAAATTGGTCGAAGGTAGGTGTCCGATTTCTGGTGTCTATCGTTTCCCCTACCCGCTCGTTGATCCGTTGATCCCTACGGTATTAATTGGTTTCCGTACGCAGGTTGCATCACCACCGTGGTCGCCTACGATCCTGACATCAAGAACCGAAGCGCCGATCAGCACATCGCGTACTCCATAGTGAAGGAAGATCAGCAGCCACTGATCGAGATCGACAAGACCGGTTGCCTGAAGCTGAAGAAACCGTTGGACCGGGACTCCCCGCACGGCTACTCGATGTGGACAGTGCTCGTGATGGCCGTAGACGACGACGGATCTCCAAACGCGTTGAAGAGCCCAGTGCTGGTCAACATCACGCTGATCGATATCAACGACAACGCTCCTTTCCTCGACATGCCCTATCCCGTGATCTGGGAAGAGAACAGGGATCCCGGCCGGATCACGGAGTTGAAGGCCCGTGACTATGACTCCGACGAGAACGGGCCGCCGTTCAATTTTAGCATCGATACGAGCACCGCGGACGACGAGATTCTCGAGAAATTCGAGATTCGTAGCGCCGATCTGTACGCCCTGGTTCGATTCGACCGCGAACAACGTAAGAGTTATGATATCCCAATCGCGATCACCGATCAAGGACAGCCAACCATGACGGGCACGTCTACCTTGACCGTGATCATCGGCGACGAAAACGACAATCCGATGTCCGAGGGTTCCAGCTCCATATTCGTCTACAACTACAAAGGCGAGGCGCCCAACACCGAAATTGGACGGGTCTACGTGAAAGACGCAGACGATTGGGACTTGCCGGACAAACACTTTGCCTGGGACCCGCCGCACGACGGGTTTGATCTGAATCAGGATACGGGGATGATTACATTGCTGTCAGGCACCTCGAACGACACTTTCGTCCTCAAGTTTCTCGTGACCGAACACAGCCTGCGCATCAAACGCCATCAGGTGTCCGCGTACGTGAACGTTACCGTGAAGGAGCTGCCCGAAGAGGCCGTTACTAGATCTGGGTCCGTCCGTTTCTACGGAATCACCGCAGAGCAGTTCGTCGAGCCCGATGAGTACGGCGTCAGCAAGAAGGAGGTCTTCCAGGAGAGGATCGCGAACATGTTGAACGCGTCGGTCGAAAATGTTGACGTGTTCACTGTGCTCCATTCGCCGCACCACAACAACAGGAGCCTGCTCGACGTGCGATTCGCCGCTCACGGTAGTCCTTACTTTGCTTCTGAGAAGCTCAACACGATTCTGGCTCAGCATTCGAAGGAGATCGAAAGGGAGCTCAGGACAGACATTTTGCTGGTCAACATCGACGAATGTCTCTTCGAGAAGCAGCATTGCAACGATTCCTGTCGGAGTTACTTAAACGCCAGCACAATCCCCTACGCTGTCTACACGAACACCAGCTCGTTCGTCGGTGTCCGAGCGGTGGTGGATCCACAGTGCACCTGCCACGTGGCGGAGCCGATCGTTTGCCTGAACGGTGGTACCCCGTTCGCGGAACGATGCGAGTGTCCACCTGCTTTCGAGGGTCCTAGGTGCGAAGTCCTTGGCATAGGTTTCCACGGCGACGGTTGGGCCGTGATGCCTCCGCCTGGTCAAGCTTGCGACGAGTCCCACTTGGGTATATATCATCGATCTTGTCTTGTTCTTCTTCTTCTTCGTATTTGACTTTGTCTTTATCCTATCCCATCGTAAACAGGTCTTGAGATCACGCCCCATGTCGACAACGGTTTGGTGTTTTACTTTGGTCCGATCACGTACAGCCCCAAAGTTGGCATTCAAGATTTTATGTCACTCGAGCTGCAGCAAGGATACGCGGTTCTGTACGTCGACTACGGTTCGGGAACTGCACGTCTCGATCAGAAGCAGATCCTGCTCACGGACGGCAAGAGCCATAGGATAGACGTTTTCTGGAACAAGAACGTAAGCGACTCGCGGTATTCTTTCCGCGCAGCGACTCATGCTCGTCTCTCCATCTGTTCTCCAGGTGATCGAGTTGACGGTGGATAACTGCGGGATAACGGCCTGCATGAGTTTAACCGCGCCGCAAGGTACCAACGAATTTCTGAACGTGAACGGTCCGATGCAGATCGGAGGAACTCTGAGCAACCTCGCGCTGCTCTCTTCGCAGCTCCAATGGGACTACAAGCCGACCGAGAAAGGATTCACCGGGTGTATACGCAACATGACTTTCAACGGAAACGTAATGTCCCGAATTTGATTATCCCCCGTGGTATTTCTCGTGCACGTTCTCGTTTATCGTACGATCTTTCACCGATTCGCCTAACGATTCTCACACGTTTCAGACCTACAATCTGGGTATGCCCTCGCTGTCGAGGAACGCGGACCCAGGCTGCAACCATGGAATGGCCAAGGCGGTATCCTTCGGAATCGATACCAACTTTTTGGTCGCGATTTTGGTCTGCATCGCGTTTTTGTTGATCTTATTGCTCGCGGTGGTGGTACATAGGCGCAAGACAGACGACCTCTACAAAGACATGGACGATATTCGAGAAAACATAATCAATTACGAGGACGAGGGAGGTGGCGAGGTTGATACGGGCTACGATTTAAACGTTCTGCGAACCATTTACGATGCCCCTCCGATCGATTCGAAGATAGTGTCGGGCAGAGGTAAGCCCGTTTCTCTTCCTGTTCCTTTTGGTTGACGATCAATGTCCGCTTAAACGATCTATTCTCTTATCGAAGCTCCCGACGAGGTGCCGGACATATGCGGTTTCCTGGACGGCAAGAAGGAAAGTTGCGACAAAGACCCCGACACGAATCCGTTCGACGATGTCAGGCATTACGCGTACGAAGGCGAGGGCAACTCCGAGGGTTCCTTATCGTCTTTAGCTTCTTGTACGTATTTCGCAATAATTGCGACGCACAACATCGACCCGCTCTAATCAAAATATTCTCCCTGTTACAGGTACCGACGACGGAGATCTCAAGTTCAACTACCTCTCAAATTTCGGACCCCGATTCCGCAAGCTGGCCGATATGTACGGAGAGGAAGCCAGCGACGAGGAGAGCGACGGCGTTGGAGAACGGGAAAGCGAGAGCTGGTGTTGAGCCTCTATCCGTTCTGACCTCGTGATTTGACGCTAATCGCTCGCAAGCGCATTTGCATTTTGTACTTAAACGACGCGCGCGAAACAGAGACAGAATCGAACCTCTCGGCGTTCTATCGTCGCCGTCGTAGATCGATCGACGGGTGACGGCAAACTGCAGGCAGAGGTGTAGCGACTCGTACCCTGATCTTACCTTAATCAGCAAATCGACATCGCGACGAGGCGAACCAGCGAAACGGGCCATGCCCTGTGTTTTTGTAACAAAGATATAGTGTAGTTGGTTGTTTCGCGTTCAAGATCGCACCATTTCCGATGTGACCAACAGTACCGTACATATCTCTTCGGCCCGGATCACGGAGTCATCGAATCGACGACATCCGATGGAACGTCGTTGGAACCACTTGTTGCGTGTATACTTCGCGGAACGATACATCCGCGTGTCTCGGAGTTTGGCAATCATTCGAGTTACAAGATTTTCGGGATGCTACTTTTACACTTAACATTATATTACAGAAGTCTAAGAGGTGACATATGCGCGAGCATCGCGGCACACCGTAACGCACGACATCACACCACACCGTGGATTCGAGTAAAATTTCTTCCATCGAAATCCTGAAAATTCCACCACGAGACGAAATCGATGGAACCGAGAGCAAACGAACTAGTGTCGACACGTTATTTAACTGATAGAGTATTTTCTGCGTTGGAGGTCTGTTTGTGAGTGTTAGGAATCACGCAAACGTGTGTTTGCGTGTGCATATGTGTGCGTGTATGCGGGAAGCGCAAGAATGTACGCATACGCGAGTAAGTAGATATAAATATAGATAGACGAGAATACGCGAACGGAAACGCACGATCGAGATACGATTTTTTCCAAGACACAAACGTGTTTTTCGAGGCTCGCAGACAGAGTCGAGTTACGAGTAGAGTGTCGGTAACGGAAATGAGATGGGGACAAAACGAAATCATGGATATCATGATATCGTGCAGTCAGAACCGATTGATATCGAACGTGCGATAGAACATAAATAAAACTCGAAACACCGAACAGAAATCGAAGAGAATATCTCCACCGCTAATTCCGAGACCGCGTAGTCTGTGTTTAAAATAACTGCTTTTGTCTAGGAAGCTGTTTGCTTCGATCCTCTTTTTACTTTCTCGTTTCTTCCAGTCTTTCGATCGTTGCTCGTCGTGCTCCGCCTCGGAAAACAATTTCTACGACTCCACACATATATATATGTGTGTGTGTGTGTGTACACATATATGTATATATATATTCGTGTACTTATGTACGCGTATACGCACGTACGTACACGTATACGCACGTACGTACACGTATATATGTGATAATAATTTGTAAGCTTTTTGTACGATATAACAGTGACGGTATATACATATATATATATATATAAATATATATTATATATAAATATATATCACGAACGCGCGCTAGACGAGGCAGCGTTGTATACATGTGTGTTTGCGAGCGTGTATGCGTGTCGAAAAGAGCGAGAGAGAGAGAGAGAGAGAGAGAGAGAGAGAGAGAGAGAGAGAGAGAGAAAGAGAGAAAGNAACATCGACCCGCTCTAATCAAAATATTCTCCCTGTTACAGGTACCGACGACGGAGATCTCAAGTTCAACTACCTCTCAAATTTCGGACCCCGATTCCGCAAGCTGGCCGATATGTACGGAGAGGAAGCCAGCGACGAGGAGAGCGACGGCGTTGGAGAACGGGAAAGCGAGAGCTGGTGTTGAGCCTCTATCCGTTCTGACCTCGTGATTTGACGCTAATCGCTCGCAAGCGCATTTGCATTTTGTACTTAAACGACGCGCGCGAAACAGAGACAGAATCGAACCTCTCGGCGTTCTATCGTCGCCGTCGTAGATCGATCGACGGGTGACGGCAAACTGCAGGCAGAGGTGTAGCGACTCGTACCCTGATCTTACCTTAATCAGCAAATCGACATCGCGACGAGGCGAACCAGCGAAACGGGCCATGCCCTGTGTTTTTGTAACAAAGATATAGTGTAGTTGGTTGTTTCGCGTTCAAGATCGCACCATTTCCGATGTGACCAACAGTACCGTACATATCTCTTCGGCCCGGATCACGGAGTCATCGAATCGACGACATCCGATGGAACGTCGTTGGAACCACTTGTTGCGTGTATACTTCGCGGAACGATACATCCGCGTGTCTCGGAGTTTGGCAATCATTCGAGTTACAAGATTTTCGGGATGCTACTTTTACACTTAACATTATATTACAGAAGTCTAAGAGGTGACATATGCGCGAGCATCGCGGCACACCGTAACGCACGACATCACACCACACCGTGGATTCGAGTAAAATTTCTTCCATCGAAATCCTGAAAATTCCACCACGAGACGAAATCGATGGAACCGAGAGCAAACGAACTAGTGTCGACACGTTATTTAACTGATAGAGTATTTTCTGCGTTGGAGGTCTGTTTGTGAGTGTTAGGAATCACGCAAACGTGTGTTTGCGTGTGCATATGTGTGCGTGTATGCGGGAAGCGCAAGAATGTACGCATACGCGAGTAAGTAGATATAAATATAGATAGACGAGAATACGCGAACGGAAACGCACGATCGAGATACGATTTTTTCCAAGACACAAACGTGTTTTTCGAGGCTCGCAGACAGAGTCGAGTTACGAGTAGAGTGTCGGTAACGGAAATGAGATGGGGACAAAACGAAATCATGGATATCATGATATCGTGCAGTCAGAACCGATTGATATCGAACGTGCGATAGAACATAAATAAAACTCGAAACACCGAACAGAAATCGAAGAGAATATCTCCACCGCTAATTCCGAGACCGCGTAGTCTGTGTTTAAAATAACTGCTTTTGTCTAGGAAGCTGTTTGCTTCGATCCTCTTTTTACTTTCTCGTTTCTTCCAGTCTTTCGATCGTTGCTCGTCGTGCTCCGCCTCGGAAAACAATTTCTACGACTCCACACATATATATATGTGTGTGTGTGTGTGTACACATATATGTATATATATATTCGTGTACTTATGTACGCGTATACGCACGTACGTACACGTATACGCACGTACGTACACGTATATATGTGATAATAATTTGTAAGCTTTTTGTACGATATAACAGTGACGGTATATACATATATATATATATATAAATATATATTATATATAAATATATATCACGAACGCGCGCTAGACGAGGCAGCGTTGTATACATGTGTGTTTGCGAGCGTGTATGCGTGTCGAAAAGAGCGAGAGAGAGAGAGAGAGAGAGAGAGAGAGAGAGAGAGAGAGAGAGAGAGAAAGAGAGAAAGATAGAATGCGGCAACGAAAGAAGAAAAAAGAAAAGAGCCAACGTGTAATTTATACGATAAAAAAAAATAGGATGCAGCTTAAGCGAAAGCGTGTGATCTCAAAGCATATACGAATGCGCCGATCGCGTGTAACAGCACGCGCGAACGAATTAGCTGCGAGCTACTTAGACTGTAGAAGATTCACGGAAACTTTGTCGAGGTGCCACGATTGGTGATCGAGTCCCTCGCATTTTGCAGTACAAAATACGTTTCCGTTGACGAACGTCGCGAAACAAATTTGTCGCTTGTCCATGACAGGGGATACAGAATGCAGTTCCCGATGAAATCGAAACTTCGGATCGCGTCCGCGTTGTTTTACTCGTCGTTTCCATTATTATTTCATTGTCATTCCTGCTAGTTCTATTCCATACCGATACGCAAGTTTTCGATTGCATGGGCACTGCTCGACCATAGGAGCTCGCTGATGGCTCGAAACAGCCATCGGTAGACACAGCGTCGCGATAGTTTTATAATTCGTATTCGAAATCGAACACTGCCCTTCAATGCTACCGAAGAAAAGACCAGACAAGAACAACAACAACAACAACGAGAAAGAGAGAGAGAGAGAGAGAGAGAGAGAGAGAGAGAAATATAAGTAGATAGACAGATGAAAATAGAGACAACTGCGTTCTTGAACGCAGGCTCTACCTTTTCTGAACACTTCCCGTTCCATCGCATACTTCCTTGTCCAGCATATACTGCACACCGATAGATGATTTAAAGGCTAAGGCAAACCTTCACGGAAATACAGAAAAATTGTGAAAACGGGAAGCGATGCTAGCACAGATCGGTGGTACCCGTATGCACAGGCTTCTTGTACTATTTACTATACGATACAGCGACACTGTATCCCGAGCAAGCGAGAATGGTCTCTCGCGTCTCATCGGACGTGTGATATAGTCGGTGGCAAGGCGTACGCGTGCACACCTTTATCCTTTAGCCGTGCGATCCATTTGTCTTTGTCGGAGATACGTGTAATTTGTTCTTTTTGTAGCAATAAAGTAAACTTCGATTACAAGAAACGAATACGATTACGATCCAGCATCATCGCCGTACGATGCCGGAAACTTTCCGTGGATCTATCGCCGGAGAACTGGTGGCTCGATTCGAACTGAGAAAACTCCGAGAACCGGTTTAATTAACCGAATTGGGCTTCGCACCAATACAGCACCCACATACGAAGAAGCCTCGCATCGTGTTGCAACCGTGTCCCGACTGCTCCGTTGGGAAACGCCTAGGACCCTCTGGGAAGCCGTAGGGCCATAGGGCCTTCGGGACACGATATCGCAAAATTCTTTTTCGTGGATTCAAGTTCTCGCATCGAACAAATTATTTGAAAATTGATCGCGACTCGATTCGATCCGCTCGAGCGGAGCGAGAGGAAGCTTTCTGTTCCCGAAAACTATTTGTAGACACTAGAGACAAATCGTCACCGAGAGTCTTCCCAATTAAAATTCGTGCGTGAAAGAGCTTGAAGGAACGAGGGATGATTCTTTCACGCCGGCGCTGTCCAAGAATACCCGAATGGTTTCTCCCGCAAAGGGATGGAACTAAACTATAAAAGCATCGGCAAATACCCTTGGTCGTTCACAATCGCAATCACTCGTAGCACATTGGACCAGTGATTCTTGTCCTTGTGCTTTCTAGAACGCCGTTAATTCGTACATTCCGCAACGCAACACGAACCAGACATGTAAGTGCTTCGTATTCGTTAATTTTCGGTTTCGACGTCAGCTTCAATTTCGAATTCAATCTCGATTTCGCAGGTATCGAAAAATCCGACACGACTTGCTCGCGATAATTCTTCTGGCATGCTTGATCTTGAACACCGGGACCGAAGCTCAGCTAAATTTCTCGACCGGCTGGGGAAAAAGAAACGAAAGAGGAGGTGCGACCGATTCGACCGGTGGCATCGCGTGCGGTTCGAAGGCCGCGCCCACGCTCGAACAATTGCTGAATATTTATTATTCGATACAAGTATGCTTTACTTTTGTCCGTTACGATTTCACACGTTCGGAACTGTCCCGCGAAACATTTCCTTCTACTCGGTTCGCAGATGGAGGCACAGAAAATGTTGGATTGTCGTAAGCTGAACGAGTGAAAGGGGAGAAATCGCGATCGAACATCGGTGGAAGCATCGCGGACACTGGACCATACCGAAAATATCCGATTCGAACAACTTTAACGACGTCTTTCGCGCAACCTGTCCGTCGAAGATGCGGGATCCTCGACGTGCCAAGGCTGCGCAAGAAACTGTTTCATTTCGAGCGATCGTAGCTTGTCAAATTAGCGATACGAACGACAATACAAACAATGAGTAGTACTGCAGGCACACTTTTCTTGCGCCCACCTGTTTATCCGTATACATTATCCCTTTATTCGTTTATCCGTTTCAATTCCGCGCTTTTGAATTTTCAAATGCGAGTGCGCACCATCGATATATCGGAGTAGGTCACGATCGATCGACTAGTCCGTGTTGTCGATGCATCGCTGCTTGCGAGAGTAATCGATGCGATAAACGATTCAAATTCTTTTTATACGTTCTCCCGTAAAATTTCAACGCCATGGACGCGAACACATGATCGTGTTTTTATTATGAATTCACGATCGTTTAAAACGGTGTTACGAAACATACGATATTTCTCAAGGAACTTCGACCAAAAATTCGAATTCAAAGAGAATCGAAATTGAAAGCGTCGACCGCGACAGATATATCGATATTCGTTCAGCATGCGTTATATGTATTATAATTCGTCCGCTACATCTCCAGCGAACGAGGGAATGTCAGCGATGCTAGCGATGCCGAGTCGTATCTGTCGCACATGTATGTAGTACTGATGTAGCAATCGAGTGAATGATCAATTTACTCGTGTATAGTTGCTCGAAGAAAAATGATTTGAAGTTTTTCTGCTGATACGATTTTCGAGATAAGCGAGAATCACGTTCGTCGAGCAACTACTATTCGCAACCTTTCGGAGTGAGAGATAACCTATAGGAGCGTGGTTGCTCGAGATTTTCGTTCGGCAAAATTGTCGGCGCAACGTGACCGCTGGTGTAACGAAACCAACCAAATTGTCCATGTTCAACCGATACTAAAACATCCCGTTCACATTACGTCGGAGTCGAGCAGAGGAGAAACCGACGATGTACACGGTACAATTGTCGGGTTTGTTGTCGAAACGATTCCACAAAGATTACGTGCGAAACGGTACTAGGTTAGCACCACCTTTTCGGCAGTACGGAAATTATGGAAAATTCCGTGAATGTCGTAAGAGGATAAGCGTCTGGTTGAAAGATCACAGCGGTCGAGTGGCCCAAGCTTGCGCCCAACAATTCGAATTCATCGCAGCGCAACGTATACGAAGAAGTCTGCAAATATTCCACCTGTACACGCGAATATGGGACGAAGTGGCGCTCAAGGAATTCATTAAATCTTGGAGGAATCGTGCTTTCAGAAATAGCAAACGCTTTCTGACCAGCAGCATAGGCGTCGCGGCGTTCAACTGGGACCGCGAAAGAATAAGCGAGCAGGAAATAAGCAGGTGAATTCATGCACATGTTTACGTTCGAAATCGTGGAGCACGATCGATCGATCGTTTCGCTATGCGTAATCCGTTTCTTTTTTTACCTCTGCTTGATACCGAATGTTTTTGCCAGTTACAAGCAGGAAATCGAGGGAATTTACAAGTTAAGAGACGCTACCGTCGTTTGTCCAAATTGCCATCTGAGGATCATAATAGACGTCCAACAACCTGGAATCAAATATTGTACCTGCCAAGACAACAAAACTAAATACAGCGCTACCGACAATCAAGATTGTAAGTGACAATCCGTATGATATCCTGCTAACAGACAAAGTTATTCGTAGCCATGTGAAACATGCCAAACTTATTTACTTATTTGTTTATCACAGCAGAGGGATGGAAGCCGTACCTAGAGCGGGAGGATATGCTTATATGGAGGAGGAAAGAACCAAATTCTGGAGGACTATTCGCGTACAAAGTATATGGTTCGTTCGCGGACGTTACCGCCGAAGACTTCCTACAAACGCAAATAGACGTCGAATATAGAAAACAATGGGATCCAATTGCTCGCGAATTGCGAATCCTAGACAGTGATCCAAAGTCGGAAACGTCAGAAATCGACCGATCTGACGTCATATATTGGGAAACCGAATGGCCTGTATGAGATGACCATTTTACTTTATCTCATTTAGTTCTGTTCATAATACCAAAATATTTTTCGCAACCTGCAATCGCGCGTTTTGCTTTCAGACATTATTCGCGAACAGGGACTACGTGTACCAACGAAGATGGATTGTGGACAAAGATAGGCGTTTAATAATAATCATCAGTAAAGGAACAGAACATCCTGAAGCTCCAACTAAACCTGGAATATACAGGTATAGAGATACCGTGAAAATTTGTCGTTACCCGTCAAGCAGTAACTTTCAATAATTTAGGTAGCACGCGTTCAACTATGACATTGTTAAGTAGGTCGATCGATCTTTTCTAGTTTCGTATTTCGTTACGGAATCACCTAGTTCAATAAGTATTTGGACTGCCAGAATTAAATACGAAAGTAGGAGAATCTAAGATTCTCCTTAATCAATGAATAATCTGAAGTCTGTACATAACAGAGTCTCGACGTATTGGTCGTACATGGTGATACGGCCTTATACAGAATTCCATGAACCAGGCATTGAATTCGGGTTGACCTACTTTGATGATCCTGGCGTAAATATACCATCCACGGTTACATCATGGGTTGCGATGTCAGGTAAATACTTCCATATATCAATTAAAATTCAATAAAAAAATATTTAATTAACTTACATTTTTGTTTATTACTAGGATTACCAAACTTTTTAATTCGTATGAGAAAAGCATCGAAGAATTACCACGATTACAAAGAAAGTATCGATACGACCTGTATCAGTTACGTTTCATTGAAAAATAATGTTTCCGAAGTCGAAGTCAGAGAAAATACCGAGCCAAATTTGGAAAGCAGCAAAACATTGAACCATGAGATAGTTAATATCACTGAAGAAACCAATGTATTAAAATTCAAGGAGGCCGGGCAAGAACAACGCGAAGGAAACGATACGAAAGAAGGACACGACCAAGAAGACGAACAAGGCGAAAATGAAGACGAAGATGGTACAGATTCGGGCAAGGAGGGCAGGGGATTATTAGATTATTTTTTTCTAGCGAAGTTATTCGCTTGACGAGGGAATTTTACGATGTGTGAGGCCAAAATGATTGGGTGCCGTCAATAGAATGATATATCGTAACTCCGAATGGACAGAATCGCTTGCGCTCACAGAAAGAAGTCAAATATATCGTATTTATACGAACGCACGTCACAAAAAAAACACATCAAACGACTCGCGACAAAACTTCTATGAAAACTACAATTGCGAGACTGATTCACCCTCCTCATGTCCTATTTCATTTACGTCGTTCATGCGTAACCGAGTGAATACTACTACTCGCTGCGATATACTTATATGAATTTTTCAATGGAGAATATTATCAACTAAATTTTACACAGAATTGTACAAATTAAAATATTTTATTGTATCAGTGTACATTTAGCGAATGTAGTCTAAATATAGATGTATAAAATAGCAAATTTATTTAATATAAACTTGTATGTACATACGTTCGCGCGTGCAATATAATAATAATACAACATATTTATACATATATATCAGAGGACGAGTACGTGCGTTTATGCATATATGTATATGTATATACATATATACATATTTATGTGTGCGTCTGTTTCGTGTACATACGTATGTTGCATATAATCTTCCTTTCCGTATTTGGTTTCATTGCACACATGTAACTCATATATAATACTCCTTTTGTACGATAAAAATTTGTATCAATTGGTAAAGAACTCCATATTACACAATAATTTTGAACTCTGTCGTAACGGTAACAAAGACATTCTGTACGGGAAATCTTTTCGAAGAATTTTGGCCAGAAGCTGTGTACCATGTACCTGAAATAACGCATTTCACTGAATCTTATTTCCATATACGTGTGCGTTCCTAATCTAAAGCCTATTTTTTTTGTTATCTTTACCCTAATAAAACATTTTACCGTGATAAATATCAATTTCCTGTACTATACACTCTCGATTTCAACGGAACTTAAGAGAATATCGTTTTCGTCGCCGATTTGAAAGCAAACTTCCTCTGGTAATTTCTTTGGTTCCGATTTAAAACCTGTACAATCTTCATCATGACACTTCTGATACATTGTTTTATTTGTTAAGTCTATGATGAGAAAAACGTTGTTGCTTTTGTGGCATCGACCAATATTTTCGCAATATCTGTAAACCAAAAAATGTTTGTAATTCGTCTATATAGTTTTTCAGTTATATTCGAACTAGCAACTCGAATCTTCGACCATACGTTAGTACCTGTATCCAGTTGTCTCGTAAACTAACACTTTGTTAGAATCATGATATTTACATGCGCGTATTTTACCAGGGTGGATCTTGTCGCGAATGTACTTATCCAATATTGGATACTTCGAATATTTCTCAGTTTCTTGATAGAGATACTTTGGCGAGTATGGCTTGAAACGTTTTGCTTCTACCATACACATATCTGAATATTCCAAAAGTATCAAATCAGATTTAGAAGTAAAGAAGGTGACCAATGAATCTATAAATATGCACAACTCCTTATCTTTGTGCAAATTTGAAGGAATATATTTACAGTCATTAGAAATTTCCATATTAGACTGTTTTCCCCATTTTGTAGATTTATACAATCTAAAATGTCTATTTTTAGTATAGACTGCTGTGTCTATAAACAGTTTGTGTCCCTTACGTGTTTTTACAAACAATTGTTCTAGTTTTGTTTTATCAAAGGAACTTAAAATACTATGCTGGTTTTGGTCCGTGGAAACATATTTTACAATATCGTTGCATATTGATTTTATCAATCTACCAACATGATAATTATCTTTGAACGCTACATCTTTGATATTAATTATAACATGCCGGCTAAATTTTTCAGGTGTAGTGGAATCCAAATTGAGCACATTGTACCTGTTGCATGGTAAGCCCCAATACTTAAGAAAATAAGCACCAATAATATCAATTATAGTGTTAGTCATGACAGGGCCGTAACTCTCAGGATTCAGCTCAATTGAGTATTCTAAGTCCAAATACAGACGGCAAGGAGAGTTTTCTGGGATCACCTAGTTTAAAATTGCTTCTGTGTTACTGCACATATATACATAAATTAATACTGGTAATAGTACGAAATATGTACTACCTCGTAAGAGCACCTCTTTTCCGGAGGTCGATGTTCGTAATGCCACCAATAGACCTCGGGATGAGCTACCACAAATTTACGATAGCCATTATCTCCTTGATAGACAAATGTGCAAAGCATATCGGTGTTAGTGCTCTTTTTAAATGCAGTTACCATCGCATCTACTTGTTTTTCAAATTCCATCCAAAAAGTTGGCGGGCCTAAAATATGCAATGGCATTTTACGATGTTCCTCCACCCAAAACGGTTTTGAATACGGTTTCACCATCTGCATTTCAGCTTTGGCAATTATTTCCTTGTTATAAAATTTATGAGGACTAATCATATTCAAAATAGAGCTTTCATTCGAAATTAAACAGTCTGTTCGGCTTAAAAACCTTCAGCATTTACTGTTTACGCTTATCTATCTCTTCTTTTCGCGCCAATTGTAAGTTCACGAATATTATGCCGCCGTTACATCATAACCTCAAAGCTGGACATAAAAAATCACGTGGCGCAAATTGATACATCATTTTTGTTACTAGTACCAACACCTTTTTCGAATTTCGTATCATCGATTTTTTACATTAACTGTCGATGGATCCGCACTCTTTTCTGTGTGGCGCCATCTACGGGGGCGGATTCGTTTTTCCTATTCTAAGATTTCCCTATTATAAGAGAGAAAAGGGGGCGCTTGTGCCACCAACTTTTGTCTCCATCCTTGTCTTACGTATTGAAAAGATAGGGAAAATTAGTTCACAATCCCGCAGCTATAGATGTTGTCGCCATCGTCAAATTTTGTTATTTGAGAAACTCTTTATTAATTAAAAATATTACAGTTGATCGTTGTTAATATTGATTATCGATTTAAAAGAGTCAAAATAGACGGTCGAATATTTTGAAAATATATATTCGAACGCTATGTTCAGTGTATTTTTTCAGACAGGTGTATTGGATCTCTCTTTTGACTTGGTTATTTATGTGTTGTGATAACAAAAATTTGGCGGTTCATACGTTCATACACATGTATTTATTATTGTTATTTATTATTTTTTTTATTTTATGTCATATAGCGAATCAACGTTAAGAACTCAGTTTATAAACAGTTTGCAAATAATACTGCAAAATGTACTATACAAAAGTAAATACATAACATTTTACATTCAGTCTAGCAAATGAACGAAATTAGAGTTCAGTTATTGAGAGAAAGTGACTAACGAATACATGAAAGAGGATTACAATGACCATGAAATTAAACAAATATTCGGATAATCAGATACTCGAAGCTCTTAATGCACGTTCCGATTCTGACTCGGGAAGTGTGTCTGAAGAGGCTACAGAAAAAACGCAAAATAAGCTACACAGAAAACGCACCTCGAAGTTACAGACTAGAAAAGAGAACGATGCAAACGTTTCTTCGGACGAAGAAAATATATTTCAAAATGTCTGTTACGCATTACAAAAGAAACGTATTTTATTGGACAAGAAAGTTTCACTTAAAATTAAATTAAGACGATCTACAGAGCAAAGTTTGTATAAAATTGATACCGACTCTGAGTGTGACAGACAAAGACATAAAAAGAATGGCAATCGAATATTGAAACAAAGCAGGAAAAGTTGTTCGGATGTAGAAACTGAAGATTCTTATAATGACAGTACAAGCGAAACTAGAATTCGTAACACAAAAGAATTAAGAGACCTACAAATTGGGCAGGAAATATTAACTCATAGTAGAATTAGAAAACCACCTTTAAGACTTTCTTCCTATCACTGTGATTCATTAGACTTTTTGAATAATGTTCAATTTGCTCAAGAAAATTCTCCATCTCTTAGAAGGAGGAAAAATATTAATTATAATGAAGACAAATTACTTCTGCGTGCTTTTGAAACAAAAAATAGAACACTGAAAGACAGTGGGAATAAAAGTACAAATGTATCTAATGTTCAGAGTAATTCGGAAAGTAAAACTCCAAGAAATAGCAGGGCTAATAAACGAAATCATGTTCCTCTTATAAAAGATAATAACACAGATGGTAGTACAGATGTAGAAATAACAAAAACGAAATCACTGAGAAAGTCCAATGAATCAGAAAATAATGAAAATAGTAAAGCAAATGATTTCATAGCTAGAAAGGAAGCTACAAAAAATGCTAGGACCAATAAGCGAAATCGTGTTTCTCTTGTAAAAGATAAGACAACTGGTGAAAAATTGGTGCCAGATTCGGAAGTAATAGAAATAATAGAAATAATAGATCTAACATCATCGAGAAAGTCCAATGATACAGAAAATAATGAGAATGGTAACAGAAATGATCCCATAGCTAGAAAGGAAACTATAAGAGAGGACCAGATAGTTAGTACACCCAGCAGGGTTAGGAGACAGAAAAGGGTGATCGCCAAGGATAGTCAGGAAAAGGGACAGCATATTGATAAAACTCAAAGCGACAGTGAAGAATTTTTGATTGATTTGTATAAAGATATAAAAATCTCGTCGGCAGTTAAAGCCACTCCTACTAGAGGGGACAAACAAAAGAGAATAAATTCTGAGAGTACTCAAAAAAATGTGCAGTTTGTTGGCAATGACAAAAGCAATGAAGAGGAAGATTCGTTGGCTGATATGTATAAACGCATTAAAATTTCGTCAGCAAAGAAAAATGTTTCCACACCACAAAAGAAAAATAATATAAGAAGAAATATTGAGGCACAATTAGATGGGACTCTATCGAGTACTCCTAAATCGCGTTCATTGAAACATAATAATTTAACACCATCAATTGGAAAAAGACACAATGCTTTATTGAAACCAGCTACACCTTTACAGGAGGCCAGATCCAGATTACATGTTAGTGCTGTGCCAAAGTCTTTACCTTGCAGGGAAGAGGAATTCAATAGTATTTTCACATTTCTTAAAGGAAAATTGGAAGATAAGAGTGGAGGGTATGTATTGAAGAAAAAAAATGTTATCTTGTGAATTATAATTTTATGAAATTATAAGAATAAACTGATATTATTTACAGGTGTATATATATAAGTGGAGTACCAGGTACTGGAAAGACTGCAACTGTAAACGAAGCTGTGAGGTGCTTGCAGAAGTTAATAATTAAAGGCCAATTGGACGATTTTGATTATGTTGCCATCAATGGAATGAAATTAACAGAACCACGGCAATCTTACGTGCAAATTCTGAAACAGCTGGATGGTAGAACTGTTACCTGGGAGCAAGCTTATTCTATACTTGAACATAGATTCCGTAGGACCAATTCTAAAATGACGCTACTTCTTGTGGATGAGGTATGATTTATTTTTAAAAGTTTTCACCGATTTAATCGATATCCAGACGATTTATTTCTTAATTATTGATGCAGCTGGACTTTTTATGCACGAAGCGTCAAGACGTTGTATACAATTTATTAGATTGGCCGACTAAGACAACGGCACATCTGATCGTAGTAACCATTGCTAACACTATGGATTTGCCCGAGAGAGCGTTAATGGGTCGTGTTACGTCGCGATTGGGCCTTACACGATTAACATTTCAGCCATATAATTATAAACAGTTGCAAGAAATCGTAATGTCCAGATTGAAAGATTTCAACGGCTTCAGGAGCGAAGCTGTACAACTCGTTTCACGGTATCGTCGTGATTTAACTAAAGGGAATTTTATTGAAACTGGAATCGCTGTTGCTCACGAAACATTTCTGTTACAGGAAAGTTTCTGCTGTATCTGGAGACGCTAGACGAGCTTTAGATATATGTCGTCGTGCAATGGAGATCGCGGAATCGCGAAACGCTGAAACCATATCCCTTCAAGATGTCACGGCAGCCGTGTCTGAAATGATCGCATCCGCAAAAGTTCAGGCCATAAAGTGTTGCTCGAAGATGGAACAAATGTTTTTACAGGCGGTATCCGCGGAGGTGTCGCGAACATCCATCGAGGAAGTGTACTTCAAAAATGCATATAGACAACTCGAATCGCTGTGCTCTTTCGATGGTGTGTTTTTGTTTGTGTATTCAGCGTTCAAAGGTTTCCTAAAAGTAATGCATTTGATTTTACATTACAGGAATTAAAATTCCTACTGTAACGGAGACACTTGCCATTTGTGGAAGATTAGGGGCTAGCAGATTGCTAATATGCGAGCACTCGAGGAACGACATACACCAAAAAATTTTATTGAACGTCTCCACGGACGACATTCATTATGCACTGCAGGAGTTAGATTTAAACTCCATATAACGAGAATTATGTAATATGTTTTTAGCAGATACCCCGGTGCATTCTGTTGCATGTCTGCATGTATTCTTGACAGTGCCTTGAAACGTCGAACGATATTATAATTTTAATTAGTTTCACATATGAATTTTATTTATTTTTTTACGGTCAAAAGAAACCTATTAGTTAAGAAACACATATTACAGTGACAGACTAAAATTAATTAGAAATTTAACGTAGTGAAGATTTGAGGATGGAAGATGAATTATCGAAAAGTTTAGGTCAGGGTTATTTTGTAGTATACATTGATTTATTAATTTTTTATATCGTGATACATAATCCGATCGTCGTGTATATTTGACAGTGCCTTGAAGCGTCGAATGATATGATATTAATTAGTTTCACGTATGTATATAGCATATATGAATTTATTGATTAAATTTTATATCGAGATGCACCATTTGTTTGTGATATGATAGCTATGCTTTTCTTCAATTTTACCGCGCTTCACGTTTAAGGGTCCGTACAGCGCCAGTATGCATAGCGGTAAAATGTTCAAACTGGAAGACAAAGTACCGAATGCGCAGAATTTTTCTAAAGCACAGACCGAACAAAGCTTCATTTTTGCTCCACTAGAGGCATCCACTTTTGCTTCTACATATGATAATGCAGGACCGGTTAAAAACATTAATTATGGCATATATAATTAGGACAAAAAGAAGATGGCCAAAGGCATGGAGCTCAGAAGAATTTACTGTATCGATATCATGTAAAAAAGATTTATAACAACATTCATATAATAGCCAATCAAATTTAAATATTTAATTATATTTTGCATTGTTCTTATTTGTTTTTTTTTAGATCATATCGATGCAGCAGATTCTTCTGAACAGTTCTGTTGCCTTGGTTTACGTTTTGATCGTTCAATTTTGTTATAATTAATGTTTCTACGTGACACTGCTGTGTGTATACATGAACGATTGTGACACCTCTTGTGGAGAAAAAATAAGGCTTTGTTCGAGGTTCATACAGCGCTAATTGCGGTAGTGGTAAAACGCCCAAACTGTTAGTCAAATTACCAGCAGTTGACTTCGGTTAACAGTTTAAGCATTTTGCCGCTACTCCAATCGGTGCTGTATGGACTTAGAACAACGCGGGGTCACTGAAAAACATTAATGATGGCGTTATAAGAACATACAAAAATTCACCGTGGATAGAGAATTGTTCAGGAGAATCTAGTGCACTCATATAATGCGAAGAAAGCTGGCTACAACATCGTAAAACATAATTAATTAACACAATAGTCAATAAAATTTCAAGGAGCAATTACAATGTTGTCGTCTACATTTTTTATACAATATCGATGCAATAGATTCTCCTAAACATTCCTGTGGTTTTGTTTTATTTTATTATGTCCTAATTTTGCCATAAGTAATGTCTTACGATGATCCTGAATTGTGTATGTATGTGACGATATGTGCCACAGCACACGTTTGAAAACCCATAAATAGACGCGATTATGACAGTCTGTGATATGAAATCAATGAGCAGTATCACCACGAATGCTCATTACAGAGGTCTAATAGGTACTTTTATTGGCGCATTGACAAAGATAGGAGATGATAGAAGCATGCATCGACTGATACAAATTGGTACTCGAGCAAGCAATTTCTATAATTAGCTATATTTTATCAGGTGAAGAATGAATAATCCTGCGATCGAACGTGGCATTCTTCATAGATAAATGGAGTGAAGCAAATTACATCGCGTCTTCGCAGCGCCGTCATCGAGCGATAACTTGTCTGCAACTATGTATAGCCAGACTTTGTCGTCGATACGGATATGTATAACCGTTACAATTTAACGAATTACGTAAGTCAAGGATGTTATCTGAGAGTTTTCTGAACTATTAATAATCAATCGTTAAGCGTATTTTAGGTCGTGCCAGTGTCTTGTCAGACGCGAGAACGTCTGTACCACGTTTGAAAATTAGCCGTTCGCTGACAGAATTATGAGCAACGAAAATATCGAGAGAACGGTTCTCGCGCTCTACGGTCAAGGTAGATGGGAAGATATCGCCAATCTCGAATGTAGTTCGAACGAATTTGAGAAATGTCGATTATTCTGGGTTCTGCCAACCGTGAACGATCTACGTTGGATCAAAGAATTAATGGAGAAGAACCACGTGGTTGGATTGACAAGTGTAGGGTGCGGAACTGGATTATTTGAGTGGTTGTTTGAAACGTATTCTGGTAAAAAAATTTAGTAAATTTTGTAAATTTAGTAAATTAAATTTTTTTAATTAATTTAGTAAATTTAATTTAATTTAACACGTTGGCTGCCGCGCGAATTTTACGTGACTTGCCCAAGGCGCCAACATGAATTTTTCATTATGCGATGCATATTATGTTGAAATATTATTTACAGCAGATAAGTTTAGTTGTATAAACTTGTTTTATGCATTTTTCGTGTGGCACATTGTAATAAATTACAATTATTATAATATTATATTATTTAAAAATTTATGCGTATCGATGTTTACCCTAATTATGTATTTTAACTATTCGTCGTGTCGCCGGTCACCGATGGCCCCAACGGCGCTGTAGCCAAGTCGAGTGCCGGTCACCGGTGACCCCCACGGCAGCCAACGTGTTAATTTAGTAAATTTAATTTAGTAAATTAAATTAGTTAATTTAGTAAATTTAGTTATTAAATTTAGTTACGCGGAGTGCGTATGCGTAAGAAACTTGTTAATTTAATATTAATAGATCGTATAAAACGGCAAGTTTTGTTTCAAGGGTTGGAAGTTGCCGGCATAGAATTGGACCGATCATGGTGGTGCAGCAAGTATTCTCCACCTTTGTTTTTGAGCAATGTGTCGCTCGTTCGCGGCGGCAACACAAAAGATATACGCGTGCCGGAAAACCACGCCATTCTGTTTTGTTATTTTAACAACGGACCGGCGTTTTGCGAGTACGTCGAGAATTACAAAGGGAAGTTGATCTTCGTGATCGGACCTGAAGAGAATCAACACCGTTGGACCGACCCGATGCCTTTCGACGAAAAGTTTCACGAATTTGGTTGGCAGCTGTTAGGCGATAAAAAAATTGAACGAACCGACGATTACATCACGGTCTACGGTAGACGATGAACATTTCAAATTGTCCGATCTGAACAATCGACAATCGATAGTACACCGTGCGATTATCGTATCGCGTCATAGATCGATTCTGAATTCCGAGCGAGACAGATTAGCTGTGCGGATTGTTTTGTTTGAACGCGAATAGTCAATGGTAGTGAACGTAGCATTGCAATTGCAATAACCAGATTCTTCTTCGAGAAACATGTCGACGGAAACGGATCAGGGAACCTTGGTGGACAAAGATGAGAGGAACAAGACGAAAGTTCACTGCACATTTTGCCCCTCGAAAATGTTGAATCCAGGTGCAGCCCGGCTAGTAAAGATAGAGGTGATCGATTGTCAGTTTAATACATAACGGTGTGTTATTGAAGAAAAAAAGAAAAGGATTCGCTAATTTAGCTAACAATAGTGAAATCCTTTCGAACGTTACACGGTTCTATCCGTGCATAGATTTTCATGTGACACTGTGGAACCTAACCTCAAAGTTTGTTTACTTTATCGTTGAACCAAAGAAACTCGTGCATTCGCACTGTTTCCTGATTTATGAAATTCGATCATACGTAGCTTTCGATACAGCTCAACAATATACGTTGTATAAAAGCTGTAGTTACTTTAGTTAAATTTGATTCTAGTTTAATCTGCCATACGTTCAAAGGATGGAGGAAAGAGAAGGTGAAGCCGACCAAAAAGAACTTATTACGGACCATTGGTTGGTAGAGGACATGTACACATTCGAGAATATCGGTGTCTCGTACACCGTGGACAATGTGAAATACTTGGCTTGCGCAGATNTTTAACACGTTGGCTGCCGCGCGAATTTTACGTGACTTGCCCAAGGCGCCAACATGAATTTTTCATTATGCGATGCATATTATGTTGAAATATTATTTACAGCAGATAAGTTTAGTTGTATAAACTTGTTTTATGCATTTTTCGTGTGGCACATTGTAATAAATTACAATTATTATAATATTATATTATTTAAAAATTTATGCGTATCGATGTTTACCCTAATTATGTATTTTAACTATTCGTCGTGTCGCCGGTCACCGATGGCCCCAACGGCGCTGTAGCCAAGTCGAGTGCCGGTCACCGGTGACCCCCACGGCAGCCAACGTGTTAATTTAGTAAATTTAATTTAGTAAATTAAATTAGTTAATTTAGTAAATTTAGTTATTAAATTTAGTTACGCGGAGTGCGTATGCGTAAGAAACTTGTTAATTTAATATTAATAGATCGTATAAAACGGCAAGTTTTGTTTCAAGGGTTGGAAGTTGCCGGCATAGAATTGGACCGATCATGGTGGTGCAGCAAGTATTCTCCACCTTTGTTTTTGAGCAATGTGTCGCTCGTTCGCGGCGGCAACACAAAAGATATACGCGTGCCGGAAAACCACGCCATTCTGTTTTGTTATTTTAACAACGGACCGGCGTTTTGCGAGTACGTCGAGAATTACAAAGGGAAGTTGATCTTCGTGATCGGACCTGAAGAGAATCAACACCGTTGGACCGACCCGATGCCTTTCGACGAAAAGTTTCACGAATTTGGTTGGCAGCTGTTAGGCGATAAAAAAATTGAACGAACCGACGATTACATCACGGTCTACGGTAGACGATGAACATTTCAAATTGTCCGATCTGAACAATCGACAATCGATAGTACACCGTGCGATTATCGTATCGCGTCATAGATCGATTCTGAATTCCGAGCGAGACAGATTAGCTGTGCGGATTGTTTTGTTTGAACGCGAATAGTCAATGGTAGTGAACGTAGCATTGCAATTGCAATAACCAGATTCTTCTTCGAGAAACATGTCGACGGAAACGGATCAGGGAACCTTGGTGGACAAAGATGAGAGGAACAAGACGAAAGTTCACTGCACATTTTGCCCCTCGAAAATGTTGAATCCAGGTGCAGCCCGGCTAGTAAAGATAGAGGTGATCGATTGTCAGTTTAATACATAACGGTGTGTTATTGAAGAAAAAAAGAAAAGGATTCGCTAATTTAGCTAACAATAGTGAAATCCTTTCGAACGTTACACGGTTCTATCCGTGCATAGATTTTCATGTGACACTGTGGAACCTAACCTCAAAGTTTGTTTACTTTATCGTTGAACCAAAGAAACTCGTGCATTCGCACTGTTTCCTGATTTATGAAATTCGATCATACGTAGCTTTCGATACAGCTCAACAATATACGTTGTATAAAAGCTGTAGTTACTTTAGTTAAATTTGATTCTAGTTTAATCTGCCATACGTTCAAAGGATGGAGGAAAGAGAAGGTGAAGCCGACCAAAAAGAACTTATTACGGACCATTGGTTGGTAGAGGACATGTACACATTCGAGAATATCGGTGTCTCGTACACCGTGGACAATGTGAAATACTTGGCTTGCGCAGATTGTGACATGGGTCCTGTAGGCTGGCACGATCTGGCCACGAAAAAGTCATACATCTCGTTGAGCAGAGTGAAACACGAGTGATTTGTAAATAAAAGTCTTGTACAATTTTATACGAGTCATAGCCCATTTTTCTTTCTTACAACGAACAACCCGAAACGCACCAGTGGGAGAGACACAGTAAGCATGGACAAAGAATGCACGTTACTGTTTAAGTTGATAGTTTAATATTTAATCACGTACGTTACAAACACAGCCGGATAAATCAGATAATCAATCGTCGTTACGATATAATAATAATTAATAAGATTACGCTTACGATTAGAAATCATTTATCAATATATTTAATACGTATGCAGTTTTGTGAATCAATTTCATTGCGATGCATTGAACTTGATAGCGCGATTGCTTATGATCGCGGAACGTTTATACGCAGTGCATATCTCGGTATAATTATCATTATTATTTTTATTATTTATTATTATTATTTATTATTATTATTATTATTACTTTTATTATTATTATATGTAATGTGTTTACACGCGAGTTTACCTACGTATATGTACTTAAACATATGTATATGCATTTGTATATGCGTATAAATGAATGCTTTCCGAAAAAACGTGGTATTTATCGGTATTTTGAATTTTGCGTCTTCGATGTATTGAAGAGAACGTAAATAGGAAAACGATCTTTTCTTTCGAAGCCTGATCGTAGATCACGATCGGCCGCGCTCTAACAAAGATGATGGTAACACGTTTCTTTCCTTTATTTGATATTGATTTCTCTTGTTTCACAGCGTTGGATCCAAGATTCAATCTTTCTCGTCTTTTATTCAGGGCCATCGAATCGTTTCGTCGTAGAGGAAAGAATTCTAGTTGCATACATACAAACATATATACGCGCACACACGGACGTGTATGGGTCTTTCGCGTAAAGCTTCTTCTTCTTCTTCTTCTTCTTCATCATCATCTTCTTCTTCTTCATCCTCGTCTTCGGAGAAATTGTTAATCATATCTATTTATCAAATAGGTTCTCGATTTGCCTTAAGTATTGCAAAAATAGTCGCGCGTTCGTTCCTAGCCGTGTCGCAACGGCCGTTAATAACATCACAGCATTATCATTCTTTTGTCTCTATCGCGTTCTCTGTTTCTTATCGACGTGATCTCTCGCTATGCCGTCATGCGATACACGCTTGCACGTTTACACGTTTTCGTCGTAATATTAAGTCAAGACCGTGATGGCTGGACCGCGGATTTTTGAAATTCAAAACAGGTCAACTTAAGGGTGTCAACACGTGATCTCGTCAACTCGTTGCAAACGTTTCAAGAAAGAAGAAATTGCTACTTGTGTCGAGTAATAATCAACTCCTGGCAGAAAATGTTGATTTCGCCCGAGGATCCGCAGCCTGGTAAATCACGATTCCTACGGATCGACGACCGTATCGAATCTCGAGCCACGTTGAAAAATTCAAGCGGACAACGTGTGACAAACAAACAAACAACTCGTCGATAAACGGTAGCGGTAACGGCAACGATGAATTGTGTATCGGTTCGATCCGCGGCTGAAGGTAGTCTCTTCATCCCCGTTCCTCGCTCTCGATCTCCATCTCGAGGGATGATTCCATTCGTCGGTCACCTGACCGCGAACCGCACGACACGACGACGATGCTCTCGCGTCAATGTCGTTCTCTCGCTCCGATTCCCTCTAGTTCTCCTATCATTCTTATTGTTAGACGCAATTAGAAACAAAGCTCCGTGGTAGGCGCGTGTAGGCGACGCCGTAATTGCGCGCGTACGCTCGTCCCTAATCTCGCAAGAGTCTTTGTGTGCTTCTTACCCTTACGTTTGTGGACACAGTCGAAAGGTACAAAAATAACCAGAATAAAATCGGAGATAGACTGGAAAATATACAGGGTGCGCCAAAGCGTACGGATTTTGGAACACTCTGTAATACACGCGGATTCTCATTCTACGCAGCGAGAGAGAGAGAGAGAGAAAGGGCAAAGTGTGCTCGAACTTTGGCGACGCCTAGACTCGAAAACCTCTTGTCCGGAGTCTCTTATCGTTGAAGTACCCAAACAGTAGGTACATAACTACCTATCCGAACGCTTGGTTTCTCTCGCCGCAGGTACACGTACACGCGTATAGTCGTGCTCGGAGAATCACCTGGCTATCTACGATGGTTCCGAATGGTTCCGAATGGTTCCACTGAGGTTGCTTGTAATGGCACATCGAATCGCTTTGTCTCTCGTTTCATCCAGTTCGGCCGGACGAGAAAGCGCAAGCGTAAGCGTAATCGTAATCAAACCCGTCGAAGCGAACGCAAAAGTGTGCGGCGGCGGATGGATCTCTCGTTCCTTCTTCGAGCGGGATCATTGGTTTCGCAAAGGATACATGGCATCGCCCGTTGTTTCGCGATTCTTTTTTTTTTCAATTGCACGGATGCGCGACGCTCTGATTCCACGTCGCGCGCGCGATTATAATCTTCTGTTTCTCTTTATATTTTTTCTCTTCGATTCGGCGGGGATCGATGCGAAACGAAAGGCGAACGCTTTGGGAAATATCGCGCAAGTGCAGCTAATCGTACGACACTAAACATTTAGGTCTTGGTCCGTGGAATATTAAACGTTAACGATATTAATTAATTTATCACCGCTCCCCCGTTCTCCTATCACCTAAACGACAACTTGTTCGGCCGACACGGCGCGCGACGCGTATAAAACGTAAGTATTATATCTGGTACTGGTACTGAGACAGTTAGCCTGTTCTCGATGAAATCGTGTTTCTCCTCCAACCTCCTTTCTCGGTCGAACAGTCCAGCGCGTTTCTCGTTCGCGTCCTGATCGGCCGATCATCGGTTTCTCTATACGTGTATTTGGTATTCGTTGTGTCGATCACGAGCTACACACCGTCGGTTAATACTCGTGTACTCGTTCCAAATTCGGCGCAGCGATACAACAGAAGCTGTCTTACATGGAGACCGTGCATCCGACATTAGCCGACGTTAGACTATTTTCTCTACGGCCCTAATCGAAATCGTAATTGTAATTAATTCTGTATCGTATGTACCGTGAGTAGTACGCTGACGGTTAGCGGACCCGCGAGAACACTTCTTCCCGCGGACAAGCATCAATTTTCAAACGGTACGCGTCGAACTCTTCGAATACAAGCGACGAGTAATTGCGATAATTTCAACTACCAATTTCATTCCCAATGGCGCGTGATCTAAGGTACTATTACTAATCCGATCCTATCGGGATCGTTGGAGCCGCGAAACTGCTCGCGATTTCTCGCGTTCCGGGAGAAGTTTCTCGGTGTGAACGCAAGCAGCCCGAACATTTCCCACTGTTTGCGGACGGGTTCGCTACCAGATCGTGTACATTGCGGGAACTTGTAACGTTTATACGAGAACATTTGGTTTGGTTAGAAAGATACGTTGCAGCGTTTGGAATGTTACGATCACGAAGAGCGACTACAATGTCGGGGGTACCTGGAAACGCTGGTAGCGAACGCGTCAACGGGTTCGCGGAGTACGATCGAATACGCGTCGCGTCGGATCCTTTGGTCTGCGATCGATGTATTGCTGAGAAGCGACTTGGCCCGGATTAGACGGTGCATCTTGACTGTCTCTTGCCCGGTCTAATCCCTTCGAACGACCGTCGATAATGACTATGCTTAAAAAGTAGCGATAACGGTAGTAGCGGCGTCGAGTTGGTAATACAGTGGTAGTAAAAGTTATCATCTTCTTAGCGGTAACGGTAGTAGACGTAGTACTGATAACGGTAACAGTAACGGTAATAGTAATAGTAATAGTAATAGTAATAGTAATAGTAATAGTAATAGTAGTAGTAATAGTAATAGTAATAGTAATAGTAATAGTAATAGTTATAGTAATAGTAATAGTAATAACAATAGTAATAGTAATAGTAATAGTAATAGTAATAGTAATAGTAATAGTAATAGTAATAATAATAGTAATAGTAACAGTAGTAGTAACAGTAGTAGTAACAGTAGTAGTAATAGTAATAGTTATAGTAATAGTTATAGTAATAGTTATAGTAATAGTTACAGTAATAGTAATAGTAGTAGTAGTAGTAGTAGTTGTAGTAGTAGTAGTAGTAGTAGTAGTAGTAGTAGTAGTAGTAGTAGGAGTAGTAGTAGTAGTAGTAGTAGTAGTAGTAGTAGTAGTAATAGTAGTAGCAGTAGTAGTAATAGTAGCGATGGTGGAGTGATGGTGGTGGTGGTAACAGTAGTAATAATAGTAATAATAGTAGTAAATGGTAGTAATAGTAGTCGTAATACCGACAACGTTGACAGTATCGGGCAGATACAAGGTATCTCTAAACTCTAAAGGTACACGGATTACTGTGGAAAAACGTGGAACATTTTGCCTCTCCGGTTACATCATGAGGTCTCTTTGATCATTCTCAGTATTTTCTTCCTCCTCCTCCTCGTCTCGTCGTCCCCCATTGTTTTCTCCCTGTGTCCCTCCGGATCCACGGTAGTCCTCCGACAACGGCATGTTTCGTAATTACTTTCAATGTTGCGATTGAACCGGCCAAAGCGTAACCGTTCTCACTTAGTCCGATATTATTTATCCGATTTTTGGTTCGCTACGTCTCGTTCTCCGCTAAGTTGCTTCGCTTCGCGCATCAAAAGAGCGTCGGAAGCGCGTCGGCGCTTCGTTGGACCTAATCGCAAGCTTTACCCGTAATACGTTTATTTCCCCCTGAATAGTCGCGTTTGTTGTCTACGCATCGTTTCCGTTCGTTTCAACGGAAACCGATTTGTTCGTTCGTTCGTCTGTTTTTCTCGTTTTCTACGAAGTTTTCTCTGTTCGTTATCTCTTACGCGAGCACTGTCTCTCGATCGCCTACGCAGGATACAAATCTTGTTTTTAAAGCTATGTCAGCGCGAAAGCTACCCTGAACGATCGAGAAAAGGTAATAGTATATACATATATAAATTATACGTATATTAATTGTATATCCATCGTATGTATGTATGTATGTACGTATACGCGATATATATATATATATATATATATATATATATATATATATATATATATATAT